GTGCGGAAATGACATGTTCTTTAAGGTTAAAATGAAATAATAAATCTAAAACCAGTAGAATTCTCATTTTCTAATGTGGGTGATGATTTTTGGGTCGGATGGCCTAGTGACACAAGAGTGCAAGTTTCTCATGTCCAAGTGATGTTTACGGTCAGTAGTCACAAATCACAGATGTTTGACGATGTTTATCAACCCTCTCGAAAAAATATAATTTAGGAAGCCGAAGCCTAACAAGTGATTCATGGCACTGCACATCGCATAAGCTCCGAAATCGTAGTTTTAAGACAGTCATGCAGCTTTGTAGGTGTGTGATAATCACTTGAGTTTGCACTAAAGTTGGGATACACCTGACGTTTACCTATAAACTTCGCTAAAGCCGCTGAATTTCATCACTTTTTGTTGTATTTCCCCTTCTAAAATAGCTCCGGTGCACAACACAGAAGTATCCCTCAGGACGAAAGACAACTGCAACACTACTGAGCACTCTAGGAATGCTATTAAGACTCTTTCATTATCGAATACTTCATCAGGCCGAACAGGCCTTGATAAGGTGTACTTGTGTCCAGTGTGCAGTAAACTCTTTGGTCACTTCTCAAGAGCATTGAAACATCAAACATCTCACTCATGTGAGCGGGATTTTTGCTGTCGTTTGTGCACGAAATCCTTCAGGTACCTGGATACACTTCTTCGACACATGAGAAGAAAACATGAGGGCAGCGTTGATGTGTCCACCAAAACACCAAGCGAAAAAGTTCGCGAGTCAGAGAAGAAAGGAAACCCTTGTCCAGAATGTGGAAAGCCCTTTACAAGTTGGAACGTGTTGCAGCAGCATTAAAATAGTGTACATGGGAGGCAACTTCAACACATTTGCGAGAGCTGTGGAGATTCATTCACTAGGCTCTCCAACCTAAAGCGGGATATCAAAAGCCTTCATGTAACTGAGTCAGATGTAGAAAATGAGGAAATTCATTCACCCGTCTGTATTCTCTGGAAACACAAGATAGCTGCACATGCACAGCCTGAGTGATATATCAACCATTCAGCCACTATGTACCCGTGACGAGATTTTTGAGTGAAATTATATTTAATGCTAGCTTTTTCATACGTGACAGTAAAGTTTCGTACAGTTGGATGGCTAGACGCACTCTATTGCAGTTTATGCAGTTATGAACTTGGTCAGTTACATGATTGAATCCCTGCATGTGGAGCGCGAATGAACTTCAAAATAAATTAAAGGGATAACGAACTTTAAAAAGTGGATGGAAATTCTATGCAAATTTTTCATGAATGCTGTCTCCGCTCCAGTGCCTAGTGCTGAAAAAATTCTCACCGACATGGAATACAGGTTTTATTGTAACACGTGAGTGCGAGCTCAAAACCTACAACGGCTTCGCGCATTATATTGAGGAGACAGTGTCTGACTTTAATCTAGGGCTGTCGCGCACTATCAGACTTTGATCCAGGGTTGTCATGCACTGTCTGAAATTGACCCAGAGCTGTGTGGTTGTCGTTTGGCCGTGTTGAGGATCTCAGTAGATTTCGGATGATTTTGTTTTCTGGTACTCATTTTTGATCGTTCAACGTGAGATCGTCGGCATGGATCAAGTTGAAGGAGGTTGCATGAATTTTGTAGCGCAAACGTTATGGCATCTTGATTGCCCGATTGATTGATTGATCTCACTTGGGCGGTACATGTCAAGTAGCTACTACTGGTGCTTGTCTTGAACGATCGAAATTTTTGTGCAACAGGTTAAGGTCTAATGACTGCTCCCCAGTTTAGAGATCGAGCGCTTATTCGGCAGTAGTTGATTGGCGCTTTTTTCCGTATCAGTGATCTCACTGAACGCTATATATCATCATCGCTCTTTAGAGAGCGACTCCATCCTCGGTGCCCGGGGCACTAGTTCCTCAAAGATACATTATTTTTAGACCAGAATGTTGCCTTTCCTCCCGTTGATGTTGGTAGGCATAAGTATTCGGGTGGTAGTATTGGAAGGTACAATCGGTCGTTCCAGTCTGTGCCCAGGAGAATGAGCTGATAAGTAGCAGATAGTCAAAACCACAATCACGCTGGCGTGCTATATTCATCTCATTCATCTAATTTACCAAGCACCTCAAGCTTACCTCCTGAGGCATTTTCAGGATTGTTCATTGTTAAAGTGATTTTTGTGATTTGATCTTCCTCCAGATGCACTGGGAATTGATCGTAATATCAAAAGCATTTTGAGCTTCAATCGAAAAGTGCTCGCGTTTCCTCTGATTGTAACATCCTGGCGGCGAGCATTGACCTGGTTTGCATATGTGGCAAGTTTTGCGTTAAAGCGGAATTTCCATCCTCGTCGCCAATCTCTTAAAGCTGACTGTTGTCCTCGCTACCTAGTGCCGTGCCGAAAAAAAGACTCGAAGACAAGGAACGCAACAGCTTTATTGCAACGAGTGAGTGCGAGTGCGAAAAGTACAACGGCCTTGAGCTGTATATTGAGGGAGCACTGTCTGGCCTTGATCCAAGGCTGTCTAACACTGTCTGACTTTGATCCAGGACTGCCTGATCGGCACTAGACACTTTTCACACTTAAAGTGGGCAACCATTTTATTCAAAAGTTTGTCATACTTCCACTGCGGGTTTATTTGCAAACGTCGAGCTCACCGTACCTAATCCGCACGTTACACTATGTGCTTAATTGCCCACAGAACGTGAATTAGATATGTTTGACTGTAAAGGACATCGCGTAGATAAACTGCTATCAGCCTTTCTGAAACGTGCAGTATTTGCCTTCGCAAACTGTGATAAAAAATACTCGTGGAACGTTAGTTTATTTAGATAATAGTTCAGAAGTGATATGGAGTCCATCTCGCTGAAACCGTGAATGGGTATGTGACTTTGCAAGAACGAGCACATACTTATCACACTGTATCCTGAGGGCACTCCGATACGTAGATGGAGTGTCCATTGTTATTTTTCAAGTCATAGTTTCAAGCGGTATGAAGTTTCGGCCATGAGTACCAACTTGTTAGCCGTTTTAGTGCATGTGACAACGTCCAACCTGAGAAACTACTTGTGCTATCCGAAACTACAACACTTCTCGTCTACAAGAAGCTCCAGGATATCGTCGGCACCGAGAAGAACGGTTAAGATCTCTGTGGTTAAAAGCTACCAATTACTAGCAATTTTAGACTAATCAACTAACCTCACTTTTTGAACGTTCTATTCCGTGAGCCCACTTGATCATCAGTAAGCTTGACTCTAGTAGTATTTGACCGCTTCACTACGAAATTCCACCGGGATCTCCCTATCCCACGAAGAGAATTGAATTTGCACGCAGCAGTAAGGAAACAAAATGATAGGAATAGATCGAGGAAGAACTTGAGCGTCTCTGACTGGGTAAGTAAGTGGAGAACAGCGTGGTTCTCCACCATGCAACGTCGATATCTTGTTTTTGATGAGAACCTGAAAAATTTCATTTCTAGGTGAATATATTCGGAGAACATTTAACTGCCCCTTGGATTGTGTGGGTGTGCCGAAAAAGCACAATATATACTGGGAGATGCAACCTCTGCTTGAGTGGTATTTCGAGTCGAGAATTCAATAAAATTATTTTGATTTTACGCAAAAATCTGCGATACCCTAAGGCAGAACGTATGACAGATTAGGATGTAAAATTTGACATAACGAAAAAAAAGTAAACCCATCAGAAATATCTGGTTTGCTGGTAATAGCAAGTTTTATTTTGTGTCATACTTAAAATTGAGCCAGGCAGACCATGGGAAGTAGATCTTACTGCTAAATGCATATTTGACTTTTGGGCATTCCGAGGTACTATCATTCTGGTATTGTTATTGTTATTTAGGTACTATTATTCTTCCGGCTGTACTTCCGGTTGCCTAATCATGCCGCACTCTAGGAAGGCTGCTCCAAGAGAAGGACGGCTGTGATACGAGACAGGTCCATCCAGGTGAGCGAACCGCGTCCTGGATCTAGAAGTGGGTTTCACTAACTACAGGCTAGCGGAAAATTCATCCCACCTACTATCCACACGTACATATTTCCTTCACAAGGATGAGAGCATCATCTTGGTGTATGCTGAGACGAGCCTGGTGGCCTGGCCAATAATGGTGGCGTTGGTTCGATCAACTGTGCAAGTACGGGCGACCGCGTTTCTTTTTGGGGAACCACAATAAAAGTGCGGGCATAGCGACCATTGACCGTTTGGATTGTTAACGATTTCACGTTAATCCAGGCACTCGATGAAGTTCGCCACTATCTCTGATTTGGACATAAACACGTGCGAATACGGACCGTCCGAGGTCGTGAGCAAAATATGTCTAGATGTGAATAAGCCTAATGGTGGGCGGTAGAACATCATAGAATTTTCACCGGTCATGACGACATAACGACATGACGACAACTATTGGCTTTTGGACGACGGATGCCTCAAATTTACTATTAACATTCATCACATTTAGCTTGTATCTTGCACTGCGTCACTTTCTCTGGAATACGCTCTCGTGTTTTTCATGAACTATTTTGTCGTCAGGAGATTCAGCGTCGCAGACTGCGGCAGTAGAAGTAATACCATCAGAACTCTTGAGTAGCAGGACGCTGGATATTCAAGCAAATTGAGTCAGTGGGTTATTATCCGATACAGAGAGAGCGCTGACGGAGGACTTCCATACTGTTGTACACTGCTATCAGTACGTTAGCACCGAAATCACCTAACGTAGTTTGAGTTATGAAGGAGTTGCAGAAAAGAAGAATGCGCCAGCAATTATTCTACTATCGTTTCAAATGCACCATGGGTTGGATGTATGCTGGAGCAAATAAACACGGGTCATATCACACACTGGACTTGGAGTTTTAGTACACCACGTGGAAGCGGATGAGATAAGCGGATGAAGAAGAGGAATTTGTCCTTGAAATTCATTGTCTAAGTGCAAAGGATGGGAATTTACAGTGAATGACATAGGTGAACATATGAAAAGTGAGAAAACGTATCACATGGATGTGCTATGCTGACGAATTACCGAAAAATGGTCTGATTTTTTGTGCAAATCGGGATGTTTTAAAACCTCTGACTTCATTCTCCGGGCGTGGCTTGAACAAGCATCTTTCTGCCAGTGTAGCCAATTTCCTCCGATACTGTGCCATACAGGGTAAGCAGGTTTAAGACGATAAAAATGCACAAAATGAGGATGTTACCTGTGCACCTTGCTTACACTAGAGAGCAAAAGGTTTGTTCAGATCAAAATTAACACCATTCTGTTTGTTTTAGGATTCATCTTTTTAAATTACCACAATCAAACATCATATCAACAAAGGGAATAAACATTTTATGGGCACCAATTGCTTGCAGAACACGTTTGGCAACACGCCTAAGGCTATCCTTGTTAGAATTGAAAGTAAACAGGAGTAATTTCAACAAGGTCTGATTCTAAGGTATGGAGTGTTTTAGGCAAGCAGACAAACAGTTTTCGAGCGAACGTTGCACTGTTAGGCATCTATTTTAACAAATGTCTTTGTAAGCTAACGATTCTTTTCCGGCCTGGCATTCGGCGCTCCCTGTCGACAATGCACTTACCATTCCATATGTGAAAATTGAAGAACCGTACAATTACCAAATAACACAGGAGAAGTTCATGAGAAAAATTATGGAAAAAACTTTTTTTAGTTAATTTCATTTTTTAACAAAACACAGCTAAACCAGCCGTTCTCTCACGAAGTAGGTTACGACCTGCCCTAAAGCCTAACTGGTTGCAAGTAGGCTACGTGAACATCCTAAAAATAGCATCACCAACAATTGTGCACTTCAGAATAATAAACTGGCTGTTGTCCTAACGCAACCACACATTCCCACGTCTGTTGTAGGTACGATAAAAAGGAGAGGCCGAGGCTACTGTATCTCCTTTGTTGGCAAATATTTTCAACTAGAAATAGCACGCAGATAAACTGTATTATGGTCTCACTATTCGTCGCCAAATTACAGTCCATCCTGTCCGATCAATGGAAGACACTGAAACGGGTAGCTTAACTCTGTCAGCTCATTTAGTTATCGGTGAAAACGCAACACGATGATGATAGGTAGTAAAAATAAACTTGGAAATGCAGAATGAAAAGAAAAGGAATAATCATTTCAATCGTCAAATTAGGTTGAACCACTCTGTCTTGTTCTTTCGTTAGGTCAAGTTCTCACATGCTTCTAGTTCATAAGTTAACTTTACTCTTGGGGAAACACTCTGACTATTCCCATGGGCTGATTTTCCGTCAGTTTTGACTACATTAAAACATCATTTTCAAAGCAAATTCAAATGGATCGCTTACCAATCCTTGATTACTTGGTTTTTTGATAAAAAAATTCAGACGTTTATGCTTTGTTCTTGCTAACCATGGGAAAATACAGAACAGTTTGATCAAAATAGAATAATGATCTTCAACATTCGAGGGGGATTTATTAAGTCTAATAGTGCCGATCTGTGTAATACACAAAGAACTTTCCATACACTAGGCCATTTAATTACATTGCTAGGCTTACTCTAAAGTTCACATTATGGTTGGAACATCCGGCCAATGGTTGAGCTCCCCTACGTCGGTTTTGGAGAGGAAAATTTACAATTACTTAGTTGATTCAAAATACTTTAACCTGATTCTCATATATGCTTTGCAACACGAAAACTGATGTGGATTTCGTCTCACACCTGACCGATCACGGAACTTCAGTCTGCCTTCGTAGTCGCTGGAGTGGAACTTTTGGTATGGCACCAATTACCGAAGGGTTCCAAGAAAAATTTTACTAGATTCTGAGACATCGATAGTGCAGGAGTATAGCTGTCTATGGGTGTTATTCCAGCGTCGGTCAACAAAACTGAAAATATTTTAGTTCTGAGTGGTTTGAAATTAGTTGAGCAACTTAGAGACCAGGCGATTAGCTGCCTCTGAATTTTCGCATTCCAATCGGTAGACCAAATAATGATTGAGGGAACGGCTAGTGCAGTGTTTATCGCCTTCAGCAAACGCCAGCTGAAACTACCTAGGCCTTCCGCCCCAGCTATATGCGGTGACGTGAAAGCCGAAACTGATTAAAAGTCAACACTTGTATGACCATCAAACGTGGTTGACCTTATTCACTACTTGGTCTTGCACAACAGGGAAGTTGTCCATCGCACTGTAGGAAATCAATGGCGTGGGAAATGTTCGTGTTGGTGTCAGACTTTTCGCAGACTGTGACACTGCCTTCTCATAAGTTTTATCCGAATCAACTGACAGTTTAGGTTGAAACGGTCTAAGATTTTAAGTCTAAGATTCTACTTGGACCATTTCTGAAATGAGTGTGTAGATACACAAGGTCATTTCATGTAGCATTGGCACAAAACTTCTAATCTTCCAGGCATCATTAAAGGCAGTAACTTGTGGATCAACTGTTTAATCTCATCTCTAGACCCTTTGTCGCTTGGGCTGTATCTCCTGGACAAATCACCTGTGCGTGTGATTACGGACTCTTCTGTGCTTCGCAATCAATTCTCCACTATTTTCGAGACAAAAACTTAATAAGCTGGCTATACTGTATCAATGGCAGCGAGTTTTCATGGGCTTTTTTTTACGGGGAAGGAATCGTAAAGGCATTAACTTGTGGATCAACTGTTTAATCTCATCTCTAGACCCTTTGTCGCTTGGGCTGTATCTCCTGGACAAATCACCTGTGCGTGTGATTACGGACTCTTCTGTGCTTCGCAATCAATTCTCCACTATTTTCGAGACAAAAACTTAATAAGCTGCCTATACTGTATCAATGGTAGCGAGTTTTCATGGGCTTTTTTTTACGGGGGAAGGAATCGAAAACTTGGGAGTTATAAAAAACCACACGATCCGGGCAGCGTCAAAAATATTCGGATACTGCAGCTTTTGCCGGGGTAGATTTAGATTTTGCGCAGTTTCTTTTTGAAATCCTCTACGAATACACATGAACGAACACAGGGATCCTCTAAACTGTCACCGATAATAATAGTTTAGCTGCTGGTTTGTGAAGTATTTCATTCATATTTTGATGGATCACGGTAGCTCTGCTACTCTTACGAAGGGTGGATTACTAACGAAGACTTGGAAAGAACAAAATGACCGTCTTTTTACTCGTTTCGGCTAGTAGTGAAAATTTATTTAAGATTCCACTATGACTACAATGTGTAAATGAGTGAACATAATTTCCTTCTATTCCAACTATCCACACACTTATGAGCTCAGATGCGCAGGCTTCCGGTCGGTGCGAGATGTAGCTGCAAAGCCTCCACGAGCTTTGTGACGAAATATCTCAAAATTAGACTCACAGCCACTATGCAATTACTATATTATATGCAAATCAAGCTTAACTGGTTGCACTACTACTTGAAATCTACGGACAGTCTGTGAGGGAATGATAAAAACTGATGACGGAACGCAAACACATCAACACGGTTAACACGACAAAATGTTTGAAGGAGATAGAAATCTGTCTGATTTGTAAAGGCCGATGAAATGTACTCCCTAGATGACGTTATGCTGAAAATTTGCCAGTCGAAACGCTGCTGTTACCCGCGAAGTTCGAACGTTTCAGTTTGTTCTCCGCACATTATCATTAAAACAATTTAAAAGACTGTAACACTTTAAATTAAAAAATTTTTAAAGGTTGTAAATAAGATAGCTTGCACTGAAAATGCTCATTTATTGAGGAGACGAAGGTGAATATAAATATGCTTGTCTGCAATACTCCGTGTGTTTTGGTAGGTGGATCTCTGGAGCCGTTGCTTGGACTGCTTGTGTTGCGATGCAACAAGGGTTGAAGCATGACGATTATCACAGCACTACTGCAAATTCAGTCTCTCATTCTTCCCAGGAAGTGTCTACCAATAGTCTCACAAACATTTGCCTTCCATTCCTTCCTGTAATACGTTGTTTACTTAGATGAATAAAAAGTGCTTAAAAGACTGCGCTTACTGTTCCCATACTTCAATTCTTTGTAAAAAAAATCACACGAAATTTATAATTTTGGCACAATAACTAATTGGATTATTGTGTTCATCAACCAGCCAGTAAAGGGAAGACATTATCGAGGCAGCATTATTAATAAACTTATAAAAGTGGGAGCGCTCACCCGTACAAACGATCTGAGAAAACCATTCGCCAGATGAGGTCTTCCGATGTTGATGGATTGATATTGACACTGTCATGCCTTATAAGTTCTAAGTTGGCTGAAGTTCATTGTGAGTTGCAAACTGTTTCAGTAAACCAGGAATTTGTACTACAAAAAGCACATTGCGACGGCCGCAAAATATCGACTCATTAGCGGAAGCAAATGGGTTTCTAAACCATGTCAATTAGATATTGCAATTTTAGATATTGCAACATTTATGTTGTCTCTAAAAATATCCGCTATTCCACATAACCTTGTTACTTAAGCCAAGCCAATAATATCTTGGAAAAATGGTGCCTAAGGCTTATTTGTTTGTTGCTGATCGGGTGTTTCTTGCTGTTTTCGTCAGGCACACCGTTCGGCTTGCGAAGAAGAAATCAATTATTAATACTGACAAGCATCACTGTTACAGCTATTTTGATAATCCGCTAACGATTCGTCTCATCTACTTTGCAACCCAGTTGCATTTCAGGCAATCCCATCACTTTAGTTTTTCTAGTACCTCTCCAATTTCATCCCAACAAATATGATTCACACCCAGACAAATACATGGATAATGGCTGTAGCAAACATACTGCGCTTGTGTTGGGTAACCATATTGGGTGCGGTTGCTTCTTTGGCGACACGGTAAATGCTAAACTGTACAAATTTTGTTCTAATTTTAGCTAATATGATTCACTCAATGCGTATTCCACCACCGGATACAACTAAGGAAAATTCACTCTATTCCTTTCAGAGTTTTACTTGAGTTAATTGTAAAGTGAAGATTGATAGTCACGTTTGGTTGGGAATAAAAGTGACCTCATACCACATACAGCCTAACTACACTACACAAACAAAAGCTGAATGTTAAAAAGGGATTTGTCCCAGTTGAGGGTTTCTTTAAGAAGATAGCAGTTCTCAGTATAAACGTTTTGTACCATAAATTGGATTGTTCATTCTGCCACGTTGTTGGCATTTGGATCAAAACACTGCACATGGTGAGTTTTGGAAAGCAGGTCTATTTAGTAGCAATAAATCTCTTCGAAAAATAAACGGACTCCTTGATGTCCCAAAACAGGTTACCATTTAATTTATCCTGCTTCGTGAACACCATGGCGGGCGCATCTTTATTGCTAGTGCGTGCATCATTTATTATTCTGATGCGTTTATTTTCTGCTATTTGTTTCAGTCGGAGAACTGAATGGGTTGTTTGAATATTACACGCCTGCATGTAAGTTAACGTGTTTTGGTGGCACCATTGACATAACTCCCTTCAGTTATACACGTTTAAATGCTTGGTTTTACTTGGGTTTACTTCATAGCAGATCACTTAAAATGAGCCTAGGTTACTGAGAAGAACCAGTAGGTACATAAGTGACAAGGTATCACAGTTCTGGGTGATCATCGGTCGCACACACAGAAAAAATTTAAGTTTTGCACAGCATAACAAGAGTGGGAAATGTAAATAAAAACGTCTAAAAGGTGAAGTTCTGGCCGAAAATCTGTTCTCAGTAAGACATTGTCTGGTATTCGTGCTAATAAAATGTGAATGAATGTCTGAGACATTTAGTACGAAATTCAAAATCCTTTGTCCAGCTTCTTCGCGGAAAGTTTACAATTACATTTTTTAATGATATAGTGACAGGTTTCACCAATACTTCTATGAAAACACTGAGCATCCTCATGACACGTCGGAAAATATAAGTTTGGTAATCAACAACGGCCTTTAACTGACTCTTTCCAAATGGAACCGCCTGAGCTTCTTCTAGAGTTTTGTCACAAGAACAGTGACGATTATGGATATCCCCCTACTCGGATTTTTCGTTCAAGCCCCTTGCCCTTGGACTCCTCTCATCTGAAATTTCTACGGGCATACGGCGTTGCATACAGTTTGGTGTTTGGGGCACTTAAACCCTAGAAGCAAGGTTTTTCTATCTTTAGCACGTAACCATAGTTATATTTTTTGAGGATACACATGAAGATGCGAACCCCGATCGTTTATTCGTGAACATTTTAGGATATGGTACGGCCCAGTAGCCAAATAGAAACCCTCACTTTGGAGGGCATATTGAATTGGAGACTTTGGCTTGCCACAGTTGAGCCTTACGCTATTCGATTTATTGCAAACTGTACCATGAATTACGCAAAAATACACGCAAATAATCCAGTATATATACCCAGTACCCTTCAATTTCTATCAAATTTTATCACCCCGAGCTCGTTAATTTTCACGATTATAAATGATCTCGTCTACTTACCTATCATAGTGGAACACGCAAATAAAGCGAAAGCTTCTAGGAGGGTTTTTGATTGGTTGACTGCATGCGGAATTGCATCTAGGTGAGGGATCAGCAGTAGGAACTTTACCATTAAAATAATGAGCACGAAATTTTTTCACAGTCTATTTTCAGAGTCATCCGCTCTAGGAGTAATGTGGAACGTAAAAAATGGCTTCCCATTTGATCGTATACATCCCAGAAGTGGTCACGTCCTACTTTGGTCCTTTTTAAAATAACAAGTAGTTATATCCCTAAGAAGCAGCAAGATTAATTTTTGTAGGGTCCTTTCCTGCATAGAAGTATCCAACTGCTTATTCAGGCCCCTGGTTGGCTGTATTATTTTCGGAGCAATGAGTGTGGAATGATCTTTCGGAGGATGTTTTTAGTTTTTAATTTTTTCACTTTAAGGCTAGTTTTGTGATATCTTCAAATAGTATAAATGTCTCGACTTACAGAAAGTTGCATAGTGTGCATATAGTTGCATGTAGTGCGGCAAGTTTGAGTACAACTTCTTTAGTCTAAACTAGCATTTAGTACACTGGTCTTTTGACTTTTTTCGACAGCTTTTCAATGTCATGTCCACTGGAAAAAGAGTTTGTGTTCAAATAACGTACATTTTCCTCCACGTTGCTAGAAATTTTTTAGCGTGCGGTATACGTTTAAAGAACAAATGCTATTGCTGGTCAATAGATCATAATGATACAACAGACGGTAAACGTCAACGATTTGCCGGGCTATTTTATGCACCTGAGCTTATCCATTAGATGAACTTGTAAGAATTCAAGGTCTCCCTGACCGCCATTCCTTTGTGCTTCTTTAACTTCAGCTGATGCCCATAAGACTGAAATTTTACCCTAGATGGCACCAGTGTGTCAGAGTTTTTCAGGCTATGTGGAAGCCGCAATAAAGTCGAACGACTGAGCTTTGTAATGCATTGAGCAAGATTATTGATATAAAATAGCTGATAGTATCAGCCATCGTGAAGTTTCAATGAGATGAACTTTCAGTTTCAGATGGCACATTATTTAGTTCCCACTCACTTTGTGAATGGTAACAATAACACCCAATGTGAATAATTTTGTCTTCAAAAGCCTCAAACGTCGGAACCAAAAATATTCTGTGCTTCAAACAATCCATTTAAAGGCCCATGCTGAGCTTACCCATGATTGATGCTCGGTCTATTCAAGTGGTTGTCTTTACCATGGATATTCGGCTCCTTACACTTCATCGGTCGTGTTATGTGCCACTCTCTCTCTCAAAAAAAAAACAAAATTGATTGGAGGGGGTTTAACAAATAGATTTTCCTATTCAAATAATGATATACGAATTATTGTTGCAGCTGTTTACACTTCAAAAGCACAAAAACTAAGATTTCTACAGGAGCAGTAAAGTAAAATCTGATCTCATTATTGTGTGTGATGTCGCAACACTCGCCTTGTTGTTTGATCATTTAAAGAAATTTCGTTTGAGAGCGTGAGTAATGTGGGAAGCGGATCCAATACTTATAAAAAAAGGGTTGGATTTTCCGCAACATGTCTACGTAAGCCATAGTGGAACTCCAAAGTTTAGTTCATATATACTTCTAACTGCTAAAAAAAACAGGAAGTTACTATCCTCTTATTACATTTGTTTTCCTAACCAGCTTCCACGAGTGACATAATCCCCAGGGATGGTGCGCGCTACAAACGCTGCGAGAAAACATGTCGGAGTCCTGAATCGTTTGCACTCTCATCAAACAAAACAAAAGTGAATGTGGTTAATCAATGCCAGGAATGCAACCAAACGTTCTGTCAACTATCAGCGGCTTTAAATCATCAGATTACTCACTCAAGCGCGCGCTTCTTCGAATGCCAGTTGTGCACGAAAGCCTTCAAGTATTGGCGTGGGCTTCATCGCCACACTATTACAAACCATCCAGGTACAGCTGCTTTGAAAATCCAGACAACTTCAAGGCAGCAGATTTGTGAGTCGGAAAAAAAAGGAAACCCTTGTTCTGAATGTGGCCACTTTTTTAAGCAGTGGCGTATCCTGCGGATGCACCAAAAATCGGTACACAAAAAAGAGACTCGCAATATCTGCGATATATGAGGGACGGCATTAAGTAGAAAATCGGACGTTCTGCGGCATGTGAGACAGATGCATGAAAAAGAAGGTGGCCATCTATGCAAATTATGTAATAGAAGATTCTTTCGGTTATATCACCTAAAGAAACACTTAAAAACCTTGCACGGTTCTCATGAAACATAAGAAATAACTAATAAGCCTAAAAATCATTACATTTTTCGGCTGCAATGCAACTGCAGGCGTATAACCCATTTCGAAAGCGGGTAATCATCCCTGAGATAACAAGCAATGAAATTCAGACACATTCGTCATTTGCAATGACAGAAAAGGCATCATGTTGAATCTTTGAGGGCTTTTAATTCATCACGTTGCTTGATTGTGCGTATTTTCCTTACTTCTGTCAACTTCCAGGCTATCAACAAAAAACTTACAAAATATTTTGCGAATATGTTGCTCTGTCAGGGTCAACAGAAGTTGTCGGGTAAAGCAAAGGAAATTATTTCGTTGCTGGACAGTGAGATACATCCGCAATGTACCATGGTGAATCGGAAAACCAGTGTAGTTTTAATAAACTATCCCATCAAAATCAGATATCCTCAGTGAATGAAGTATTTGTATGCAAAATGAGGTCTTGTGTGAGTCGAGAGAGATTTGGAAGCTGTTTCTTCCTTATTCTGGGTCAGTGTTTAACACTGGAGGACCCTGCAAGTAAATCCAGACGCTAAAGTTATTGAAGAGGAATAATTTTTCATGCAGACCTTAACTGATATACGCTCTTAGTTTGATGCTGGTTATCAGAGTATTGAATATATACACTTTTTCGTGAATGCTTGCGCACATCCTTGGGAAACGTTTATTGAAGCGGTTGTTTTACGTGACAGTTAATTTTCGAGTGCAAAACTCCATCTATGTGCGCTCTCATGGCAAACATAGAACATGGTTCACTTCACACCCACACTCGGTTTGTTTACGCACCGTCTCTAGTGAATTTTATAATGTGTCCGGAAATAGTTTGCGAATACGTTGCTCTGTCAGGGTCAACAGAGGTCATCAAAGCAAGCAAAGGAAATTATTTCGTTGCTGGACAGTGAGATACATCCGCAATGTACCATGGTGAATCGGAAAACCAGTGTAGTTTTAATAAACTATCCCATCAAAATCAGATATCCTCAGTGAATGAAGTATTTGTATGCAAAATGAGGTCTTGTGTGAGTCGAGAGAGATTTGGAAGCTGTTTCTTCCTTATTCTGGGTCAGTGTTTAACACTGGAGGACCCTGCAAGTAAATCCAGACGCTAAAGTTATTGAAGAGGAATAATTTTTCATGCAGACCTTAACTGATATACGCTCTTAGTTTGATGCTGGTTATCAGAGTATTGAATATATACACTTTTTCGTGAATGCTTGCGCACATCCTTGGGAAACGTTTATTGAAGCGGTTGTTTTACGTGACAGTTAATTTTCGAGTGCAAAACTCCATCTATGTGCGCTCTCATGGCAAACATAGAACATGGTTCACTTCACACCCACACTCGGTTTGTTTACGCACCGTCTCTAGTGAATTTTATAATGTGTCCGGTGTATAGCAATGAAGTTTTGGTAACACAATCACCTCGCACACCAATTATGGGGTTGTAATACCGCCGGGACAAGTACTACTCTCTTATAGTTAGCTTTATTGAAGGTAATAATTGGGTTCATTACATTTGCACTTCTGTGGACCACACTGAATGACTGCTATAGAAACAAAAAATTGTCTAAACAAGAGTGACGTAAATGTTTCTCTAGAGATTGGCAACTGGTCTAACACTGCACTGAAGTTATCTACACAAAATAACCGCGAATTAAATGCTATGCTTACCACACGATCAAGTAGCACATACAATGATATCTTCAAAATCACCGAGCTAATGGCATTCGAATATTCACTAAGCTCACTTACGACTTTAGGAAAACAATCTCACCATCCAAAACCATGTGAATGGATCTGCATACGAAAAAGCTAAGTTTGGAGTCCACAGAATATGAACACATAAATTTTACTCAGTTTGATTGACCGGCCTTCGAAGTAGTGCAACTTACCGTTGTAGTGACCTGAAAAACCCCATTCAGACATCTCACATTAGTCTTGTCACGAATGCATCATCGTCTTGTGGTGTATTATTCTGAGCTGATTAAATTTCACCACTTTACTTGAGAAGGAATCTCTGTTCATACGATACGTGTACACCTGCTTTGCGGAACATATTTTACTAGGAAACAGATATGACGTAATGGAGAAGGTTTGCAGCCGGCTGCAACTTTTGTCCAAATTATCACTCGTAAACGTTTCTAAATTAATATCAGTGATATCAGTAAGGCGCGTCGGGATGGTGAAAGGTCAAAATTCAGCCTTCATTAGGTGAGCTACGATCCAAGCTAGTTATAATCCGATGTCAACCATTTGGGGACAAAGCTTTGAGACAGACAAGGGCTGAGTTGCCATATGTTTTATAAACGGCAAGCGTTTGCCACATGATATGCCCGACAAGCAAGAAAACATTTCCTAAGTATAGTACCTGCAACAAGTATTTTCATCATTCAACGGTTTCACGCAGTAATATTGCAACTGAAGTGTGTGAGATGATATATAGGATAGGAAAGTGCTCAACCACAGGGCTAGATAATTCCACTCTAATGGAAAACAATTATTCCACTTAAGGGTAAGTATGTGGATGAGGTACCACTCGATTAGCTATGGAAATCACTGCCGATTGGGGTTATTTGCGGATAGGTAAGGCGTGATATTTAGAGGTTGATGAATTACGTGATAAAATTCCTCTCTTCTCTCAATGTCTTTCAAAAACCAGTTGAAACAAATAAGGAACTTAAAAACTGGACATTTGTGAATGATCAGGTGTAAAGACCTAATATATTATTATATATTTTTAGTTGAAAATTAAGTGGTTTTGCGTTCTGCAAATCGACCATAATATATAAAACGTTAGGTTGTTCGTTGGTACTGCTTAATCCTTTAAAAGTTGCTGTGATCTCTACGGTCTACCAGTAAGTTTAGATTACAATGGTGCTTAAAATGGAATAATCGTTTTAAGCTGTCTGAGGTCACTGTGTTCGAAAATGCCATAACGCATTGTAAAACAATTCATCACTTTAACTGCGGTTGGGTTCTTAATCTACGAGAAATGTTGGATGAATAAATCTGGGCGAATTAGAAGATCCAAAATTTGCAAAGCGCATGAAGACTAGATATTTTTACTAGAAATGCACTAGCTTAGGGCATAGCCGATCGCAAGGCATAAAATCGATGTTGATTCATCTGACTCAACTGTACTGAGTTGTCTGGGTTGCCTGCACTAACTTTCAGCAAACAGGCGGATTTGTTTCTACCAGCCCAAGTACAATCAACATTCCACTTAACATAGTGTGCTAGATTGGGGAGTCATGCTACCACAAAACCGGCCATTTCTCAGAATGGCACCAAATTCATGGTTGTAATTTAGACAGTCTTCATCTTCTGTATCTCACTCTTACCGGCTTGAGTACGCCGGACTAAAGAAGCTCAAACTGAGGAAAATCAGTTCTCATTATGAATAATACCTGAGAGTGGATTACTTGTGTGAACTGTTGAAGATCCGGAACTTTAGTTCTGATTTACGTTTATTAAGTTAAAACTGCGCCCTACGCTGGTTGCAAATGCAACCAGTACATGTAAGTTTTGATTAAGTGGTTAGTTGCAGTTTGGAAAGTGCATCATGGAAGTTCAGAAGGACAAAATGAAAAGGGGCATAAGTTACCAACGGAAGCTCTTGTGGCCATGACACATAACCCATGTACCTGCAACGCGACGCTGAGAAAGCCAGACTTTAAGGTTTAGGCCGGGCAACCCTTTTACATGTGCGTCCAACACGATAATCAAAAGCAATGCAAAGCTGAGTTTGCGGCACCCAAAAACCTATTTGCAATGAATATCATTGAAGTAAATTGCAGAAATGCAAGACTTATGGCAATGAAAACATGATTGGCGTATCAGTGTCTTCATTGACTCTTTGAGCTCTATCAGGGTGTCAGTCGCATGGGATGGAAAAAACCTGAACCAACAGATGCCAGCACTCGTCAAAGGCTACCTTTTAAAAACAGGAGTTACGAGCTTGGATCAGTGAATGACAGTGAACCGTTATAGGTAACCACTGAAGAAATTGTTCTAGTCCCGATAAATCTTAAAAGGCGATTTAAGCAACACAAGAAGCGGATAGACACCAAATTATCCACGTCAACATGATGCGCGTAGCTGGTTGCAATATGTGACATTATTTTGCGCGAGTAAAGCCGCGTTTCACGTACCATAAAAATAGAAGAATGAACCTGTAAGAAAAAATACAGCTGGTACGACGAAATTTCGGGTGCTATTTTAGAGATGATCTGTACGTTTTAACCAAAACGCGGACGTGAAACTCACCTTCAGATAGCTATTCAAATAATCAGCGTAGACAGGCATTGAATTTGTCTATTGGGGAACGGAAAACTGCTGTTTTCAGCAAACCACTCGATAATTTTTCAAAATAGTCCGTTCAAAGGGGTTTAGAACCTAAAGGATATTTGAATGAGTTGCTTTCAGACTGAGATGTCTACAAGGCATAGTAAATGGATGAGGTCCTACGATGTACCTTGTCTTCAATAGAGTTGTTTGCAGCGCTAAATGGTCAAAAGTTTCATGTCTAATTTAACCTAACCGGTTAAACATTCAAGCAGTCATAGAGATAACAGCAGTGTGGGAGTTTCAGAACTACTCATTCATATCTGAAGAAAACTGAATGAGACATATGCCACAACCTACGCATACCTGGGCGACTCAAACAAATTAATCAAAGCGAGCTTTTACAACCAAATGTTCTTAATCATATCTGGCACAGAAATACTGTGAAATATTACGGTAAAATGCTAAATGGTTAGGATGTTATTGTTGTAAGCACACCAGTGCCCTCCAGCTAGTTCTGAGTAGGTTTGGTCAATGGTTAAATGCAGAGT